CCTTTTTCTTTTCTGGGATATGTTGCCGACCCAGCGGCACCGGCCTGTTTATTATTTTGGTTTGACTTGCTTTGCTTTATTTTTGCATCATGTTGCATGTCTGCACTTGCTAGTGTTTTTCTTGTTTTCTTTCTGTGTTTTATCTGGGATTTCACGATACAACATAGGCTCATTAAGAACCCTAAAATTTTAATTTTCTACAAAATTCTAAATAAAATATTCAAGATAATTAAAATTTAGGATTAAAGTATTCAGGATTTAAAAATTGCAAAATTTACTTGCATATATTAATAAGGTCTCCACAATACTTAAGATCATTCTAGGTAACTGCATTCATGTTTGCATGTCCCGAGGAGGAGTCTCCGTACTTTTCCAACTTGACTGACCCAGCATACCTTCATATAGATGGTTGTCTAGTGCGCCTAGAGTGTTAAAAGTCTCCCCGACCCAAACGGGGTGTAAGTCCTTTTATTGAAGTGTTTACAGCTTTGTAGCTGAACCTCCGCTTTCTCTTCTTTCCGGAGGCATCCTTGCTAATTCGGCACGTATAAGTCCCACCTCTTGGAGCTCCAGCTTGTAGTCATAGCATAGAGTTTCCTTCCTTTGACCTTAGGGCTACCAAGGTTCCCGTGGATGATGCAACTCACGGATTGCTGACCGGGGATTTCAGGACGTGTTGGGTCGACTACCTTCACGACCAGGTAGACTTTCGGTCCTAGTAGGTGTGTATGACGGGTCCGTGGTACCCCGACCCAGTTACCTCTACCTTTTAGGATCACTCTACCTTCCTTTTTGTTGAGCCTCTTTGAGCCCTGTCGCTCCTTGACCTCGTTGATATCACCTTGACGGTCTGATGCCGATGAGCTGCCGCCCATTTGGGATACGACGATTTGTCCTCTGCCCTTTGGCCCGGACGTGCTTTGACGTATTAGGATATCCCAGTCAAGATGTTTTAGGTTATTCCGTGGGCCTCATGTGCCGATGAGCCGCTACACATTTCGGGGTGCGAGAGACTCATTCTCTGCTTAATTGCTTAGCGTGAGCTTTGAAGCATTGAGACTATTCTCACACGGAATAACCTTCATTTGATTGCCTATACCCCAGGTTTATGATAATATGAAGCGAAACTCCTTTTATCGAGAGTATTCTTGGGTATCCCCCAAGATGTAATTAACCAGTAGGAACATGTTTCTCTGGGAGTGCTCTTGACCCCAGAACAGGTACATACACCTGCCTCTCTGGTTATGGGTAGTCTACGTAGATACTTCTTTCGCGGATATTGATTTAACTCCGCTTGATCTTGTTTGGGCGGACATTCTGGGCGGACATTCTTGACATATCCTTGCGAGGTTTATCGCACGTAGACTCTCCACGTTTTACTTTTTCTCTTGTTTGTTTCTTTGTCGTATCTCCCTTCTTATTCGATTATTCTCCCCTTCGAATCATTTATATGGTTCGGGAGGGAGATTTATTCGAATGAGGGAAGTATACGACGATCGACAAGCTGACGACTCCTTTTAAAATAAAATAAAAAAGAAAAAAAAATGGAGACAAACGGATTGAATTCGGGTCCAACCCGAAATGGACCCGACCAAAATAAGTCTGACCCAAACCCAACTCAGATATTAAACGGGTTGAAATCACAAGCTAAACATGACCTACCGTCAACCCCCAACCCAAACCTGACCCGTATAGCCCGTTGAACATAAGGGATAAGAGCTATTTGGCTTAAAATAGTGCCAATTCATGTCAATCTAGAGTCGATTTCAGATTAATTTCGAATTGGTGGATCGATTTCAAGTCAAGTTAGGGTTGGCTTGAAAATTAAATGATTTAGAATGTTCAAACCTGACTCGACTTGAAAATTATTTGGGTAAACCAGAACCTAGATTTTTCAAGCAGAGTTTCAGGTTGATTTTTTACACCCCTAAATGCATTGATACGACAAACCACCACTAAAATGAACCAAACCATCCCCACTCCTCTCTCATACTCTCTTCTCTTCTCTTCACCCTTTCCATCTCCCTATCTCCTTCCCTTGTTCGATCATTTTCTTCAAATGCACCAAGCCACTTTATTCCCATGGCAAGAAAATCAAAATATCAATATAATATGCCCTTTTAGCTCCCCTATTTAAAGAACATAGGAAGGTGAAACTTAATATCAAATTAGGTTCAAATTCGTTTAAATTTAAACGACAATAATAAATATGTAACAAGATTTTGAAAATCTAAAAATCCAAACTGCCTATTTTGAGTCTGCACTTTATCTTGTGAAGGGAAAACTGAGTTCCATAAATTAATACATTATCACCGCCAATGCTCAATTAAGGTCACTGTGAACGTCCCGTGAAGGCCGCAGCCAAAATTCAGTTTCTCGAATATGTAATAAGTCAAGATTTCAATGAGCAGAGAGATTAAAACGCAAGTTCCACAATTAAAGCATACCACATGTTGGACAGCGGAAGTAGTATTCATCCCTTTGAACAAGTCCCGATCCTCCACAAGTTCCACATCTTCTCTGCGCCACCTGGAATAAAACGCGGAAATCATATTGTTAGATTTGAATTGATAACGAAAAACCGGTAATGATTCAGTAAAGGCAACGAAGATAGTGAAATCAGGGAATCTAAATCACAAACAAAAACAGAAGTAAAATCTATCAATGGCCACATACAATTCTCTTGCCAAATGCAATCTCAGCAACGACAAAGGGCATGGCTCCGGCTGCGTTTCAATTAGTACGATAAAAAGATCACATTCTCCAACGGGAAACGAAAGCATCATAAAGAGAAATTAGGAAAAACCTGACCTAAAGCACCAACTGCGATTTGCCAGCTAATCTCCACGGTAGCATGGTTCGAAGCAGTGCCTCCATCAATAGCGGAGGTGGGAGGTGTTCGAATGAGACCGATTCGTCGATTTATCCATCCCCTTTCTCTTCCCCTAAGAATGTGAGTAAGGCTAGGATTTGCAGAAACATTCGTGCTTGGATTTTGAGGACGAGACGACAGAAGTGGCATAGGAAAGGAAGAAGCCACCATGAGAGATGGATTTGCAGAAGGAATAGCGATTTGCTCAACTGTTTTGTAAACCGCCCAAACATAATCCACAAAAGAGTCGTATTGATGTACTTTTATCCTTTGATTTTCTTGCGCATTGGTTTAGCCACTTTTAAATTTGTTAAGGTGATTCTCAAATATATATATATATATATATATATATACGG